TCAGAATAAGTTGTTTAAAGTAAAATATTGACGCCGGACGGACGGAAGACAGACGGACGGCGGACGCCGTACCACGGCATAAGCTCACTTGGCCCTTTGGGCCAGGTGAGCTTAATATACCATACCATCGACAGACTCTAAACAAATTTTAAGAAATTTTAATGATATTCTATCTTCACAGAGTGAGAAAATAATCACAATCTTCAGAAAACGAGAAAGTGAACAAGGCTTGGCATATGGAGTGTACATTCTATTCTATGACCTTGACTTTGGAGTGAAAATGGTGATATTTGTATAGCTCAAATGTCCACAAGATATGTCTAAGGCAACCTACATGCAAAGTTTCATGAAATTCTGTTTATAATTGCAGCTGCTTCAGTGATTAGAAGGCATTTTCTATACATTTTGATTTTCAGTTAAAGTGACCTTGACCTTGGACCAGTAAAGATTATGCTGGAAGTTTAAAAGGCTGTGGGTGAGTGTGCAGCTTATCTCTGCCAATTAATTTAGAACATTAACAAGCCAAATTTGACCAATATACCTCCAGCAATGCTTGAGAAGAAGTATCTTAAAGAAAACGATGACGACATAAATGCTGCACTGCGAACAGCATAACTATGATGTTTTGCAGTGGAACTGTGCTCCACTTCCATATGAAGGCTAAATTGTTAACAGCTCCTTAAATTTGCCCAAAACATTATTGATGGTTGGTATATTGCGTAATTTTTGTATCAGCTGAAGGACTTCACAGTAAGTTTCTACATGTATATGAACTTGAAATTAAAATTCCCAGTTAAGTCAACGTACAGACCAGACTTAAAATCATGAAATCACATGAACAATAAACCAATTTTGTATCATTGTACATAAATAAGAAAAAATACATATGCAAAATCAAACCTTATAAATGAATCTCAATATTTAAAACAGATATTGCTTGGAGAAAAGATCATTGAAAAAATATGTGTAAGCAATTCTACAAAGTAAAGGTATCAATATTTTGACAGACAGAACAAATTTTAAAATTTCGATTTATATTAGCTTTTCAAAATCCAAATATTAAAGGTATTCCTCTAGTTTGCCGATTCATGAAATATGAACACATTTAAAGGAGTTTCTATGGTAACATACCTATTCCTGTGACACTAAGATAAGCAGACATGTCCCTCATACCAAACTGGTTCTGGACCACACATGTATACCGTCCCTCATCACCAATCTTCAAATCTGTGGACAGAGAAATCACAAGTGTAATACAACATGATTATAGATAATGACAGAAGGTCAAATATGTTTATTATAGTTCCCTATAGACAATATTTGTCTTTTAGTTTGATGTACATGATTAATCCTTAGTTAAAGGATAAAAATTGACTGTAAAGAAACTAGATAGGCATGGACTTACTAAAACTGTTGAACTGTGCAAGTTCCATAAGTCTTTTGAAACAGAACTAGAATATCATCCTGTGATTTTCAGACACAATGTATATTGCAACAAAAACCTGTTAACTACCATCTGATATAAAATCAAAGTTGTACTTGATACTTTGATATTCAGTTTGAAAATATTAAATCAGTATGTTTCACTGGCCTTACAATCAGTATGTTTTATTTATCTGGTATGTGGGATTTATGTCTGGGAGTGGCTGAAAAATAGCGCTGTTCCTAGCGCTGTTCCTAATACAAATTGTTGAGGACAATTAACATTAGATACTATACACCGGGAAATTTTCGCCACAGTTTTAATATCGTCTCTTTTGTCCTCCACAATGAGGGCTAATTTATCAAGATAGCGAATATTCATTAGTGCACAATATACAGTATATAGTAACCACATGTGTATGGCAAATTAACACTTAGAGAGAAATCAGGTTTTATCAGCGAAGGGGAAATATTTGACAGGGTGAAAGTTTTGGTATACAGTACATTCCATTTCAATCCCTAATACACTGTAAACCTTACTTCTGATAAACAGAGAGCCTTCTGGGAGCTGAATAAATCTTCCCCCATATGCAATAATGGTGCCATCCTCATTCCTCCAGTAGATCTTTGGGGGAGGGTTTCCAGTAGCCTCACAGCTTATGGTGACATTGGTCCCTATGTCTGCTCCAAGATTAGAAGGCTGGGTGGTGATACGGGGCTCAGCTACAACACAACATGTTTTTTCTACAATAAGATTCATCAGTTTGGAATTGTGTTATAACAAAGTTTTACTCTATACACAAACAATGTACATACCAAGCATGTCGCAACGTTTCAAGACTGACTTTGTGCTATGACTGAGTGAGTTATTTGTATTGTTTACCTGTATAACGATGAGACGAAATTGTATATTTCATGTCAATCAACGCGGGACATTTTGCCTATCGATAGAGAGTATATATACACTGATCCAAATAGATACAACATATTTTACTGTTCTTAAATCCATCAACAGATTATCATTTAATCTTGATTTACATCCATATATTAATTCTGTGATGATAAATATGTAACAATGTATATAAAATTGAATTATTTCACAACTTATATTTATCACTCTTGTAGGCCCATTTGGATGTGCATGTAGGGTCTGAACGTTGGAGGAAACTCATGTGGTCTGTCAGGTGACCCATACTTTTTCACGTCCGATAGTGGGGTCAAACCCCGGCCCTCTTGTTAAAAGGCAAGAGCACCATCCAATGTATTATCTTCCCTAAATATATTTATTCTATGATGATTAATACACTACCCTTGTGTAACCATTGAATTTAATTTGAGATTTTGTATGACATTTTGAGGGCTGCATCTCATGCACATGAAAAAAACAACTGAATTAGGTGACAATTTTAATAGCAATTGTCAGGTTTTTGAAGAATTTAAGATTTTGCATGTTCATAATGACCTATTGACCTAACTCCCAAAACATTGCCTACTTACATCCAACTTCGAGTGTAACATCAGCAGAATCTGTGCCTGCCTCATTGGTGGCCACACAACGGTAATCGCCACCATCTTGCTCCTGTGTGCCAAGGATCATCAATACGCCATCAGTCGTGATGTTCACGTAGGACAGCTGTCGTAGCTGTAACAAAGAACAAATTCTGCCAAATGAAACCTGTATGTTGTAACAGTGACTAAAGGTGTATGTGTCTTATCTGATAACAAAGCCATCTGTAAGTTCTTCTTTCGAACATGACAATCTAACTTTATTCAGATTTAATTTCTAATTTCTAACTTCTGGGCAGCAAGTTTGATATAGTAGAAAAGTATAATCAAGATTGACATTCTGGAAAACAACTTTGTCAGTTTAGTATCTATATCAACTTTCCCTCCAGATATATATGTCATGCATAAGGATTTTGTTAATGTACTGTGGAGCATTGGTTTAAACATGGTTGATTTTACTGTCATTTGGGAACATTACAGCTCCAGTATTGCATTCTAAAAAGGAGCATTTGTTCTTATTTTCAAATCATCTATATATATAATGGTTAATAATAGTCCATCTCTCTTTAATGATCTCTCACCTACTGTTCACATGTCCCTAGTTAACCCAAATGCCCAAAGCTAAATAAATTTGGATTTTCTATCCAAGGACATTTCAGAAACATGAAACATTAGAACACACCTGGACATCTCCTCTGAACCATGTGATTGTGGGACTGGGTATACCATTGGCTGCACACACTAAGACTGCATTGTCACCACTAGCAACCAACACAAGTTCATCAGATCGGTATATCTGCGGTGCCTCTGTCACAGGAATGAACATAAACCATACATAATGTAATACATAATGTAACTATTTACGTATAAACTGCTCGATAAAATAGCTCCATGCAAAATTAATCTCGCTGCTCAATCAAGAAACACCATGGAAATTGACAATTTTTCTCACTGCTTAATCAAGGTACTCGCATGGTCCCATTGAAACTAAACTAGAAGTGAAGGCCATGATAACCTAAATATAGTGCATAGCACACATTGTGTTGGTAATGCAGACACACTTCACATTTTATTACAGTATCTTTTACAGTTTAAAAATGGTCCAAACAACATTTCACTATGAATTTTGCATTAACTTGACCTTTGACCCTGAGGTGAAGATCACAGTGACCTAATTGCAGCGCCAAAACTATTCTTACTGCTCATTTTTCAGTGTTTCAAGCTCATAAATGCATGTCAGAGAGTAACCATATACTGGATATATATTAAGATATGAAAAAAACTGTTTTCTACTTTTGAATTAACATTTTGATGGTAAAGCTAAGTAATGCAGGCCCTGTAAGGCTTTTAAAAGGGCTTGTCAGAAAACAGCATCAAACCACTTGGTCTGTCCCTATAATCATAAAAAACACCTCCATTCCATCTGTTACCCGCAAAATTGTTTGGAAACTGATAAAAGAAAGTAGCATCTATGGCTATGCACAGTACTCTCCCCTTACCTATATATGTAAGAATGGCTGTTACATTATCCTCTCCTGCCAAATTTTCGGCCAAACACTGGTACTGGCCCTGATCACCTAGGAACATATTGGCGAAGCTGATATGTGGACCATTAATCTGAATCCTTTCATTAGGAATCATAAGCTTGTTGTCACGAAGCCAGTAAAAACTGGGGACAGGAAAACCCTCCGCAGTACAGGTCAGGTTCACCGTCTGCCCCGTCTTAAAGGTCTTAACAGAAGGAGTCACCACAGTCTTAGGTGGTACTGAAAACAAAATAAAATAATAAGGTTTAAGGGGAAAACAAAGAATTTAAGAGACTTGGAAATTATGAGTGTTTCATGGACAAAATATTTGAAGAGACAAATAAAACTAAAAGTAACAAATACATTGGTTTGTTCAGTATTTTTTTCATGAATAAAAATTTCATTCAGGAATTGTCACTTCATGTATTAAATACATACAAATATAGGTTACACTGAAGATTAGTAATGAATGTGATTTACCTTGAACTCGGACATGTACAAGTGCCTCAGTGAATCCACCTTCATTGCCAGCCAGACACAGGTACCTTCCCTCATCCTCAAGTCCAATGTTTCTGAAACATTGAGAAACTCAAGAATACTTCCATCCTCACAACAAAAGGTAACAAACATCAGCTAAAGCCAGGTATCCATTCCCAGGTTACTTTCCAATCTTGAATACATGTGCAATATACTTGTGTGTTTTTTTCAAATAAGATGCTCACATCAAAACAATGATGAAAAAGATCATCACCAACAGCAATGTATCACCCTCCGTTTATACAAAACTTAGTCCCCTTTGCCCAAAGCTGCTCCAGGCCAAATTTGGATAAAATCTCTCCAATGGTACAGAAG